AGACTCAGTGATCGCACCGAAAATTATTGTTTGTTTTTTTTCCTGATTAACTCTAAATTCATTAAATAATTGCAAACGCATTAGTTTTAGGTATAAGTAATGATCCATTGGTTGTTCCGTGCTGACCGGAGTTCTCCTTTAAGGAAATGGTTCAATTACATTTATTGTTTTGGGGGTTAAAAAATGAAACCATCTAAGGTAAATAAAAATTTCCTGCCTGAACTAAGGATTTATTTGAGTGCTGAAACTGTTATAGGGCTTTTGGAGAATAAGGCAGATTGTTTATCTGAAAGGGCTTTACTTTCGTACGTCATTGTCCATGACAGACAGACAAAAATGGTTTGTTTGACAATACAACTAAAACTTTGCAATTAAGTTTCTAAAATCATTTGTGTTTCTTAGATTAAAGTTAATTGTATTTCCTGTACCCCTGCTCATTAAAAAAACTCTTCTTCTCCACCCATTATCACTTTTATGCATCGTTATTTTACTTTATTACTGACCTAAACTGACATATAGTTGTCTATGAAGAGTTGTTTTAGACCCAGTTTACTGCAAATTTCTTCACACCTTTGCTTAACATTTCGTACCTTTATGGTTGCTGTTGTTTTTGTTGTTGTTTCGTATATTTTATTCCTTGTTCTTTCCAAGGGTGTTTGTGAGGAGCTAACCTATGAGGAGATTCAAGAGAATTTTCCTGATGAGTTTGCGATGAGAGACCAGGAGAAGTATCGTTACCGCTACCCTAAGGGTGAGGTAGGAGCTGCTGTCATTACCAACTACTCTTCCTTCTTTTCTCCTACTGTACGAGTTATTTATTATATCTGCTCTTTGCTTAAAGGTATTTAATACCCAACTTAACGGCTTTTCAGATAAAAACATCTGAAAAGTGGGCAAAGTCATTATTTGCATGACTTCTTGGTAGGACTTTGTTGACATTTTACCCTGGAAATAACTTCTCTCTGTTCAAGTATCGGCTAATATCATGAAACTTTTACTTAAATGGTACCCTCTGAAAATATTTATAATAAGCTGAAGTTTTAATGGTTGTTTACTGTTGGATTAAAGTAAAGGAATAAATACTCGAGTTTGTTTGATGGATGTTCTGCTGTTTCCTCATCCAGTCCTACGAAGACCTCGTTCATCGTCTGGAGCCGGTCATCATGGAGCTGGAGAGGCAGGAAAATGTCCTGGTCATCTGCCACCAAGCTGTAATGCGTTGCCTTCTGGCCTACTTTCTAGACAAACCTGCAGGTAGTGAAAAATGGAGGAAAAATAATCTACTACTAGCTGAACTTGCTTTATTCCTTCTTAATATTATGGACCATAAAATCTTCCGGTCTAATATTTTCTAACTCTGTAATCTCTGTGAAGATGAGCTGCCTTATCTTAGATGTCCCCTTCACACAGTGCTTAAACTCACACCAGTTGCCTACGGTAAGGGATCAATTGTTATCTTTTGAATCTAGATCTTTATTTTCGTGACTTCCTGAAGCTTTTTTTTTTTTCTTTTTTCTTGCCAGGATGTAAAGTTGAGTCGTTTTTTCTGAATATTGAAGCTGTCAACACACACAGAGAGAGGCCTACGGTAAGATCCACGGGCCAATATTTATTGGCTGTTAGACGGAAACCAGTCTCTTGTTGATGAAGATCATGACTTCTCCAGAACATTGGATCTAACCAATGAACATAGAGAAGATATGTTAATGAAAAGGAACTGAAATTCTTGATTTAAATGAGTTATCACCTTAAAATCTGACTGTTTAATGCTAAAATATGTCGATTGATTGATTTAATTTAATAATCTCACAGTGGAGAATGTACTCGTTACATCAGCTCAAATAGTCAAAGAAGAAGAGGAATGTGCCAAAGCTATATAGTTGGATCCTTATGGGAATTATTGCACAGGGTGTTAACACAGGTATTTATATATATATATATATATATATATATATAAAACTCTTCCTCAACCATCGTGGGTGGTCTTCCTCCCTTTTTCCTCCAAGCTGGGGTCCTCTAACCTGACTCCGCCAGATGGATTTGCTCCGCATATCCATCTGGAAACTTTCTGTGAAGTAATTTTGGGAAGGGGCGAAAATACTGGTTAGCTGATTGGCCTATGTTGGTGATAGACGGGCCAAATAAACCAATCAGATCAACGAAGCACATGACGTACTAACAGAGCGACGACGAAAACACAACCACAAGCCAGGCTACTCTTGCCGAAACCAGTCGGGAGAAGAGCAAAAACATCTTTTCCTCTGAGAAAAGCCTCCAGAGCAGTGTTTTACTCTTCTTTCAGTGAAGAAATACTCTGTAATTCCGATAAAACTTGCTCGATAGCCACGCTAACGCTAGTTTCATCGGCTGAAGCCGCCATGTTCTTTAGACTGAACTGTCGCGATTCTCGTTGCGTCACACCTCAACCCGCCTCAAAGCCAACGCTGATTGGACGTTCGTTTGGTGAACGGCTCCAAATTTTCTTTAACGGAGAGTCTCCAGACTGATCTGCGAGTGAAACCTTGAAAGCTCGCGAGATCAGGATGGTTTCACGAGGCTAGGGGTCCTCTACCAGAGGCCTGGGAGCTTGAGGGGTCTGCCAGTATATTTGCTGTTCCTAGAATTGCACTCTTCTAGACCGAGATGTCTGATGTATTTCCAGGGATCTGCTGTAACCACTCCTCCAGTTTGGGGGTCACTGCGCCGAGGGCCCCAATGATCATGGGTACCACTGATGCCTTGACCTTCCAGGTTTTCTCCAGCTCTTCTCTGAGCCCCTGGCATTTATCTAGTTTTTCTTGTCCTTTTTACTGATGCTGCAGTCAGTTGGTACTGCTATGTCAACCACATTACCATTACCATCTTGGCTCGGTCGTTCTCTACCACCTTTGGAGGTGTTTCCCACTTTGACCTTGGGGTTTCCAGGCCCCACTATGCACAAATGTTCCTGTATACTATTTCAGCCACTTGGTTATGGTGCTCCATGTAAGCTTTCCCTGCTGTCATCTTGCAACCTGTACTTATGTGCTGGATTGTCTCAGGAGCCTCTTTGCACAGTCTGCACCTAGGGTCTTGTCTGGTGTGGTAGATCTGGGCCTCTATTGCTCTGGCGCTTAGGGCCTGCTCCTGTGCAGCCATGATGAGTGCCTCTGTGCTGTCATTCAGTCCGGCTTTGTTTAGCCATTGGTAGGATTTCCTGATATCTGCCACTTCGATTATGTTCAGGTGGTACATCCCCTGTAGGGGCTTATCTTCCCATGACGGAGTCTCTGGTACCTCATCTTCTGTTCCCCATTGTCTGAGACATTCAGTGAAGATGTCGTCTGTTGGAGCCTTGTCCTTGATGCACTTATGGATCTTGAATGTTTCATCCTGGATAGTGGCTCTTACGCTCATTAGTCCTCAGCCTCCTTCCTTACGGCTGGTGTACAGTCTCAGGGTGCTGGATTTGGGGTGGTACCCTCCGTGCATGGTTAGGAGCTTTCGTGTCTTAACATCTATGGCCTGTACCTCTTCCTTTGCCCAGCTTATTATTCCTGCAGGGTATCTGATTACTGGCAGAGCGTAGCTATTTATTGACTGAGACTTATTCTTCCCATTGAGCTGGCTCCTTCGGACCTGCCTTACTCATTGGAGGTAGCTGCTTTCCTCGCTACCTCTTCGATGTTGCCATTTGCTTGTGGGGTTCCAAGGTACTTGTAGCTATCTTCAATGTCTGCTATTGTTCCTTCTGGGAGTGAGACCCTCTCTGTGTGGACTACCTTACCTCTCTTAGTTACCATCCCACCACACTTCTCTAGTCCGAATGACATCCTCCCCCTATCTCTAAGGGAGAGTCCAGACACACTACGGAGAAAACTAATTTCAGCTGCTTGTATCCAGGATCTCGTTCTTTCGGTCATTGCCCAGTAAACTAAAGTAAATTATCAAATAGTAAACTGCACATTATGTATTGCACATGTTATTTCAGTTGTAGTGTCGCAATGTAGAGTCTGGTTGCAGCAGAGATGAATGTGTGAAATGGATTATTAGACTGTGCTTTTTCTTGGCTAAACCACAAAAGGCCAAAAGAGCACTCCAATGATGCTAACATTAGCTAGCATTAGCCTCTCTTGCCATCACCACGGCCCCTTGTATTCCACCTATCAGGGAACTTTTTACCTGTTGTGTGAGACAGGGATTCCAAAGCAGGGATCTGGACCCCTGGGGGGTCAAGAGACACCTATTTGGGGGTCCAGAAATGGTTTTCACTGTGATCCCTAAATATTGAGGGGTAAAACATGACATGAAATACATATATATATATATATGAACAACCAACTAAGCAGATGTAACATTTCTTTATTTATCTATATTTTAAATATTAAATATTTTTATTTAATTGTAAAATGCACTAAATAATTAAAATAAACATATCTTTAAAATAATTAAATAAATTATTACATAAAATACATTTATTAGTTTAAATTAATTTAATAAAAAATATCTTTAATTATGTAAAGCATGTCAGAAGATGGATGGATGGATGGATGGATGGATGGATGGATGGATGGATGGATGGATGGATGGATGGATGGATGGATGGATGGATGGATGGAT